TTCCTCTCCTCCTCCGCCTCCGCCTCCGCCTCCGCCTCCTCCTCATCTGCCTCCTCCTCCTCCTCCTCCTCCTCCTCCTCCTCCCCCCCCAAACACATAGCGTCCCGCCCGGGCCTGCGGCATCTGCCCCGGGAGCGGCCAGCACGGCACCCTCCAGGGGTATCGGCCGGCGGCGCCCCTGCGGCGTCCGCCGCGGGGTGGGGGGGGGGGAAAGGGGCTGGTGTCTGGCGGAGGGCGGGGGGGACGGGGAGGGAGGGACCAGGAGGGAGGAGGGAGTGGGATGCAGGGACAACGAAGAGGGAGGAGGGAAGAGACGGATGAGAAGGAGGCGAAGGAGGAGGAGGAGGTGGAGGAGGAAGAGGAGGAGGAGAAGGTGGAGGAGGAAAAGGAAGGGGGAGGCACTCCCCGGTGGCTCTCGGGCGAAAAGGAGGCCCAACATGGGGAAAGCGGGCGAAGGGTAGAGGTATGGGTACCTCTTCCTCCTCTGAATATCCCTTCCCACCTCCGTCCCCATCTCCGTCCCCCCTCGCGCCAAAGCAGGGGCCACGCACACACACACACAGCCGATGACAGATCGACGACCGAGCCGGCAGCAACGAACAGGAAAAAATAGACGCCAGCGGAGAGCCGCAGATGCGCGGGACCCTTCCTCTCGCAGAAGAGCGGCGCATCGCCAGAGGTTCGGGTGTTGCTAGAAGTACACCTGGCCCGAGGTGCCCCCAGGATCCTCGGGGTGGCCCAGACGGCCTCCAGGGGACCCTTCACGAAGCCCAGGAGGGCCCCAGAGGCTCCAAAATGGAGCGAAAAACTAGGGGGACCTTGGGCCAGGGGCACCTCGAGCAACACCCGATAGGTTCGGCATGGCTGCGTCGGTGAGACGACCCCGTATGCGGACAGTACGTGGAGGGCGCAGGGCAGGCGCAGCACCGTCAGGATCCATCGCAAGAGCAGGAATATATGCACCGGCGGCCAGGAAGAGGAGAATGACGCTGCTCAGGATAGGGTGGCTGGGATGGACGGGAGGCGTCGAGACACGGGTGGTGATGATGATGATGATGATGATGAGGAGGAGGATGAGGATGAGGATGAGGATGAAGATGAGGATGAGGATGAGGATGAGGATGAGGATGAGGATGATGATGATGATGATGATGATGATGATGATGATGATGATGATGATGATGAGGATGATGATGATGAGGATGATGAGGATGATGATGCTGCTGAGGATGATAATGATGCGGAGGAGGTTCGGTTTGTGTGATTCGGGGGAAGGAAAAAGAACCGCTGCCGAACGAATAGCAGCTTGTCCGGAGGGACAGGGGAGCGGCGGAGGGGAGGAGGAGAGGGACGAGGAGGCGGACAAGGAAGGCAACGAAGGAGACGGGAGAGAAAAGCCAGGGGCCAGAAGGCGAACGAGCAGGGGAAGGAGGAGATGAGCTAGAGCAGAAGGAGAGCAGGGAGGGCTGGGAGGAGGAGGAGGAGGAGACGGATAAGCAGGGATGGCACCACGTGTGCGCGGGGGGGGGACCGAAGGAAGGCCGCACAAGGAGAAAACGAAAGAGGAGCATGCGAAGGAGAATAATGGTAATATACTTGTCAACATGGCTCGGCGAGCAAGTCTGGTTTGTTGAGTGGGATGGCACACGAGAAGGTTGCTTGAGATTGCTGCTGCAGAGAAGGTCGGAACGTTGCTATGCCTCCTCGCTGGTAAATTACCCGTAAGTTAACGCCGCCTTGGGGGGGGAGGGTTCCCCAGCGAGCGCACAGCCCCCCCGTCCGTCCTCTTGCCAAAGTCCTTGGAGGAACTACCCAACACAGGCATGGGAGATCCGCACTCCCCCCCCAGCGGGGGAAATAGGCCACTTCATCCCCGCCTTCGGAGGGCAGCCCTTACGGAGTCGGTTACGCATGGTGCGCCCCGAAGGAGTCTGTAGTTTCGGGCACACCTCAGCAAGCTTGCACAGCCGAACTGTACATCCCACGATGGACGTATACCGAGCGCATCCCCAACACCACGCCAAACCATGCTACATGGCGATAGAGTGCGAAGGGTGAACCGACTTTGCTCCAACACGGAGGGTTCTTACCAAGGTGGGGGGAACATGAACGTGGTGGCCTTGCTCGCTGAGGCCCCATCGAGGCTTCACCCCCTAGGCACCGTCCTGCTTGCAACCAGTCAATATCGGAAAAACGCCCAGGGGATTGGCGGCAGGTGTCACACATCTTGGCCGTTCCCCAGGCGACGGAGGCTGTGGCCCGAACGAACCTCAAGCTCCTGAATTCTCGTGAGTCTTCCATCCGACCCCGCCGCACCGAACTCCCCCCGACACGACTTATCGTCCTCGCAACAGGTCTGGGCCAGAATGGCCCCAATTCTCTGGTGCACTAAAGTGGCCCTCGCATCAATTAAACTGAGAACCTTGATCTGACTCCTGATCGCATCGGAGGCGGCCTCAGCTCCACGCTGGGCCACCATATCCGCCATCCCATACTGATTGGCCTGTCTTCACATGGGAATCAACGTCCCGGTGCCAGAAAACATGCTTTGAACCCCGACGAGGCCCTCCCTTCGAGTTCTGAGGGCGTGCCGGATTCGGGTCCACCAACGGATCAAGGGCCCGGGGGGGTTCCCTCCGTAGTCTAGGTTCCAACCGTCGGAGACCAACTGGCAGTCTGTCCAAGGGAGGACGGGCCCCGTGGTGACCATCAGGGCCCAAAGCAGCGCAGCCAACTCAGAGGCTGGCACAGTCTGGCCCCCATCGATGGTTCCATGCAGCCCTCGAAGAGCCCCCTAGTCCACGTCCAGTTCAGCCCCCCCTCCCTCCGAAAGTAAACCCCCCATCCGACCCGACAAACACGGGCATCACTGGACGTGGCCGCGCCATCAAGGAAGCCTACTTGGGCCTGGAGGGGGAAAGCGCACGAGGAGGGGAGGTCGAGGGAGGAGACGAGGTCGGGTGGAAGGAGACCCACGGCCCAAACGTTTTGCCCAGCGCCGGAGTCCCAAGCCGGGGGCGGGGGCATTGGGTTCCACTCCAGCGGGACTATCCCCCTGGCCCAAAAACCTACATGCCTGCCTTCACTCGAATCTTTCTTCGCAAACTCACACAATCCCTCCGTGCGAAACACCCACTCGTGCTCGAGCCCCGCGTTCTGCATGCAGTCGTACAGGCGGTGGGCGATCGTGTCCTTTGCCATCTCGCAGCGCGGGCAATCATCGTCAATCTGGTAGCCCGCAGATTTGGCACGTGCCTTTGTCCATCTGCTGGCCAGAGAACTCGCCTCCAAAGCCCCTGCTTCTGCTAGTCGTCCCGGGCGTCGCATACGTCGTCGGTTGACTCGAAGCATATGCAGGTCCCCCCCTATCGGCGAGTCCCTGTCCTGTTGCGTGCACTCCAGCCTGCTGCCACAACTCCTTACGAATAGATGTCCTGATCGCTGCAAAGGTCTCCTCGAAATTGCGCGGGTTGGTTGCATCGCATTGCCATCCATCTCCATTGTCATCTATCCATCGGTCTGGCGCTCGCGAAACCCACCCGAGGTCTCAACGTAATTACAAGCGCACCCATCGGACCAGTGGCCCATAGCCAGCGTGACCGCGCCTTCAGGTAGGTCCACCGTCGGAGAACTGCAACCCATCCTTTACGAACACGGTCGTGTTGCTCAGGGTGTGCTGAGCAGAACTTGAACCAGTGCTTCACTTGCCCCATGACCGCGCTCATCCTGGGTTCGTCGTCCTGGTAATGCAACAGCATGATGGTGGCAGTGCAGCGTCCACCGACCGCGTGACCAGCAATATCAGCCGCTTGCGCACGCCGTCGCACGACCTCCGAAGAACAGATACCCAAGACTAGGTCTGCATAGCTAAACTTCGCTCGTGTACTGGCCTTGTACAACATGATTTGTTCGTCCTCTTGCCTGCGCGCCCCCAGTCGTCGGAACAAGCTCGCTCGTGTCGCTCTCGCCTGTGCCACTGTCATACGGCCCTTTGTCATCGCGCACGCTCTCCGAACTCCCATCGAACAGTCCACCCCCAGGTCCGTGGCCCATTTCGTCTCCTTGACCCTGATGCATGTGGTGCTGGCGACGTGCTGCAACACTAGGTCCTCGTGCTCGGGCTCGGTCATCATCAGCATGGGCTTCGGCGAGACCTGCAGGCCAGTGTCCAACATGCCCTGCACTAAAGCACTTGCCACGTGCTTCGTCTGCTCTAAGACTAGCTGGCCTGGCCCTTCGTCCCGGGTGCAGACGTCATCTACATATGGACGTATACGTGCCATAGGAACCCTTTCGTGTGCACGTTCAAGTAGCCGATACAGGAAAACTCGCGCACAATGGTTGGTCTTCCCGCATCCTGGCACGATGGGGCAATTAGGAACGATGGCCTCTGCGAGTGCGCCGTTGGCCTTCACTGCGCGCGGTGCCAGGTAGGTGAGGCAGCGCAAGTAGAGTTCAACGGATGGGAACTCTAAGTCCATGGCCTGGCGGATCATGAGCGCCAAATCCATGTGGTCGTAACACTTCTCGGCGTCCACCAAGAAGGCGCACTGCTCGTTGATGCCCACGTGCGCCCTGGTCTCGTCCAGCACCCTGGTGAGCATCGCGGCCTGGAGCGCGTTGCTGCCCTTGACGGCGGCGTCCCAGTGCGCCGCCTTCTCATCGCATCACTCTGTCAACGCGGTCTTCGTCATGCGACCCCAGACGCGGACTGGCATGGGCAGCAGGCTTATGTCGCGCTCGCTGCCGAGCTCCTGCTTGGTGCTCTGCGGGAGCAGCGCGAACCAGCTGCGAAGTAACTGGTGCGGCCAAGTGAGGCTGCGCCCGGTCAATCTCAAGGGCGTGACAAAAGCCTCCTGTCCCTGGTCGGACAGCGCCAGAATGTGGGAGGGCGAACACTGGTCCAAACCCTTGCCCGTGGACTTTGGGAAAGACCGCAGGGCGTGCACCAGGCTGCCGCGGTCGTGGTAGGGTCGCTGCGCTGGCCCCCCGTGGGCATGGTGGCGCAGCTCACCGAGGGCTGCGCGGAATAGCTGGCAATCGGTGCGACTGAGATGTCCACCGCTCCGCCCAGCAGGCCGCTCAGATCTCAGTGGCCCTCTGAACCGTGCCGCGCACCTCCTGCCCAGCGGCGTCCAAGCAGGTCCCCGCCAAAGCCTGCTGCTCCCGCTTCTCGAG